CTGAATATTTGTGCATTTTTAGGCAAGAAGTTGTTGAGGGAGAGTTAGTCTGACATTTTTTCATAATGATCTTTAAATATGTAGTTTTATTATCCATAATTTTTTTAAATGGCACAAAATCTGAAATGGATAACTATTACTAGAAGATAAAGTAAAATTTCATTTCATTTATAAAATCAGGCCCTCATGGGCTGGGTGTGGTGGCTCATGCCTACAATCCTAGCGCTTTGGGAGGCTGAGGTCGGCAGAGTGTCTGAGCTCAGGAGTTCAAGACCAGCCTGGGCAAAATGGCTTATCTATCTTTGCTCAAGAATAATATTCAAAACCTACTATCTGTTTCTACAATTGAAAAATCATTACACAGTGTTTGAGTGAGGATATAGCTCAGCAGCACGTGAAGTCACTTAGGAAATATTTGTGACCTCTACGCAACATTGTTTCCTTCCAAAACTTAGAAGCTATCTCCAGGAATGTATTTATTTATTTATTTATTTATTTATTTATTTATTTTATTTTGAGACAGAGTCTCACACTCTTAACCACTACTGGAAACTTGGAGTGCAGTGGGGGCGATCTTGGCTCACTGCAGCCTCTGCCTCCCAGGTTCAAATTGATTCTCCTGCCTCAGCCACCTGAGTAGCTGGGACTACAGGCACCTTTCCACCATGCAGGCCTAATTTTTTGTGCTCTTTTTGTAGAGACAGAGTTTCGCCATTTTGCCCAGGCTGGTCTTGAACTCCTGAGGCTCAGACACTCTCGACCTCAGCCTCCCAAAGCGCTAGGATTGTAGGCATGAGCCACACTGTAAACTAGTTCAACCATTGTGGAAGACTGTGTGGCGATTCCTCAAGCATCTAGAACTAGAAATACCATTTGACCCAGCAATCCCATTACTGGGTATATACGTAAAGGATTATAAATCATGCAGCTATAAAGACACATGCACACGTATGTTTATTGCAGCACTATTCACAATAGTAAAGACTTGGAACCAACCCAAATGTCCATCAATGATAGACTGGATTAAGAAAATGTGGCACCTATAACCATGGAATACTATGCAGCCATAAAAAAGGATGAGTTCATGTCCTTTGTAGGGACATGGATGAAGCTGGAAACCATCATTCTCAGCAAACTATCGCAAGGACAAAAAAACAAAAACAAAAACAAAAACCACATGTTCTCACTCATGAGTGGGAACTGAACAATGAAAACACATGGACCTAGGGTGGGGAACATCACACACTGGGGCCTGTCGTGGAGTTGGGGGAGGCGGGGCGGGGTAGGGTAGGGATGGCATTAGGAGATATAACTAATGTAAATGACGAGTTAATGGATGCAGCACACCAACATGGCACATGTATACATATGTAACAAACCTGCACGTTGTGCACATGTACCCTGGAACTTAAAGTATAATAAAGAAAACAAAAAAAAAAAAAAGAAAGAAAAGAGCTTCAGGATCAAGAGTGGCCTAAAGTACAGCGGTCTGGATAATTCAAGTGTTGAATCAGATCTTTCCCTGCTGCTGTGTTCCCCAAATAATAATATGGGCCCTCTGTACAGATGCCAACTCCACTGACCCACCAGTATTTGAAAAGGATGCCATGGGGAGTTATTTCTGCTACTCTTTTGAAAAAATAATTCACTTATGAGATGGAGGTGGAAATTCACAGAGAATTGACAGGTATGGGTTATTTCTTGTAGGGCCTCAGAATAGAGCAATGCCAAGCACCCTTTGGGGGCCTGGTCTTGTGCTACTGATCTTACTGGTCGTACAGAAGGGCTGCTCCCATTGGCTCTTGGGTGGGATGGTAAATTTGCTAAACCAGGTTCACTGCACCTTCCCCTCACAAAGGAGTATATATGCCTGGAGTGGCTCCATTGCTAGGCTCCATTTCCAGCACCTACCAATTGGCACTGTGTATTTTTAAAAGAACAACATTGAGGCTCCTTGCCTCCTTTCAAACTGTGAGAGAGAGAAAGTTTCTATTCAGTGTTCTAAATGCTATCTGCTTAGTTTGATAGGGTTGTAGTGACTATCATAGGTGTTTTATTGAAGTCCAAAGTATCCCAGAAAATGTACATTCCTCTCTTTTCTTATTAAATGGTGCACAGGAAAAAAAAAAAAAAATACTGCCAGAAAGACAATCTTTTTCTTCTCTCCCAGGGGAAAATCAGGTAAATAAATAATTATAAAAAATCAGAGGTTTGTGTGGCATGAAGAACGAATGAAATATTGATTGTAGAATGTGGAAGTGTAAATTAAGCTTTGAAACATAAAACTGCTGCAATAGTTTCGATGCCTTCCCCCCAAACCTCATGTTCAAAACTGATCCCCATGTTGGAGATGGGGCTTAATGGGAGGTGTCTGTGTCATGGGGCTGGGTCCCTCATGAATGGCTTGGTGCCATCCTCATGGTAATGAGTGAGTTCTCCTTCTATTATTAATAGTTCCCATGAGAGCTGGCTGTTAAAAAGAGCATGGGCCGGGCACAGTGGCTCACGTCTGTAATCCCAGCACTTTGGGAGGCTGAGGTGGGCAGATCACTAGGTCAGGAGATCGAGACCATCCTGGCTAACACAGTGAAACCCCGTCTCTACTGAAAATACAAAAACATTAGCCGGGCGTGGTGGCAGGCACCTGTAGTCCCAGCTACTCGGGAGGCCAAGGCAGGAGAATGGTGTGAATCCAGGAGGTGGAGCTTGCAGTGACCCAAGATCACACCACTGCACTTCAGCCTGGGTGACAAAGCGAGACTCCGTCTCAGAAAAACAAAAAAAAGAGCATGGCCCCTTCTCTCTCCCACTCTTGCTATGTGGTCTCTACACACACTGGCGCTCTTTCCTTTTCACTGTGAATGGAAGCAGCCTGAGGCCCTCACAAGATGCAGATACTGGCAGTATGCTTCTTATACAAACTGCAGAACTGTGAGCCAAATAAACCCTTTTCTTTATAAATTACCCACCCTTGGGTATTCCTTTATATGGCAACAAACAGACTAAAACAACTTCTAAGAATGTTGAGGGCATTCTGATCTTGGTGAAAGTAAATTCACTTAAGTATCCTTTATTCAGAAACTGAACTTTGTTAAACTGAAGAAACTATTACTATAACTAAAGTTTTATTTTTATTGCAAAAAGTTCCTAGGGAGCTAAAAGAGTACCCATTTATTTCAATTGCACCATCCCAGACCAACTCTATTCATAATTTAGACAAAATTGGAAACCTAATACATAATACCCGGAAATTGTTGATTCTAAGATAACACACTGATGCATGCAATGGAAACCAGAAATCATAAGCCTCATATTCTTTACCTCAAAGACACTGAGAAAATAACATTAAGCCAGACTGATGTAAAAGTTTCTTTTTGATGGAGCTCGAGAAAGTAAAAATTAGCTTATACTGAGAAAGCAAAATTCTGCCCTTCCACACCTCAAGCTAGAATAGACACAAATAAAACCCACTGAAAAGTTAACAGCAAACAATATTTCTTCTAAGGTCATTCTGCAGCTGTAAAATGTCATAATTACCCGTTTTGAGCAACTACTGCTTTCTTACTCATTATGACACCTCATCTTTTAAAGTCATAGGCTGTCAGAAATTGTGTAGTCTGAAATCATATCAGAAAGAACGAAAGTAACTTTGATGCTGAGAAGCAGTTATCTGCAACTCAGATGCAGACTTTCACATGAGGGGTTTCTGAATATGTAATTTTACATTTAACTTTGTATTTTCCAAGGAAATAGGATCCCAGGTCCATTATGCAGTCTGGACATGGCATTGACTCTTTTATACAGAGCCTATTTTGCTTTAAGTCTATCACATCACTGATCTCACTGAAACTTCATCAGAATTCCCTCCTTCATCAAGATCATATAATAACCCAGTCAGGTGCCATGGCTCATGCCTGTAATCCCAGCACTTTGGGAGGCTGAGGTGGGTGGATCACTTGAGGTCAGGAGTTGGAAGACCAGCTTGGCCAACATGGTGAAACCCCGTCTATACTAAAAATACAAAAATTAGCCAGACATAGAGGTGGGTGCCTAGTCCCAGCTACTGGGAGGTTTTTAAAGGCTTCGTATTATCTCTTGTTCATCTTGAGGCTATGCTTATCTAGTTGTTTGTTGTTGGGAAATTAAGTTGTTCACCAAAAGTTACGACATATATACTGGCACTATGATACTCACTGTCCATGACCTCACTGGTTTTAGTTTGTGACTTCACTAGCATGTAAGTGTCTTAATCTTACATATGTCAGAAAATATCAAGACTCTTTGTCTTGATGTGTTCCTTTTGGGTCTGATTATAACAATCATGCAATAAGAGTTCTTCATCAATCTTCTATAGTTTCTTTGTTAGACGTTTGCACTAAAAAACATGTACCTGTAAAATAAAAGACATTTAGCATTGAAAGTTCTTCTGGCCGGGCGCGGTGGCTCAAGCATGTAATCCCAACACTTTGGGAGGCCGAGACGGGTGGATCACGAGGTCAGGAGATCGAGACTATCCTGGCTAACACGGTGAAAACCCATCTCTACTAAAAAATACAAAAAAAACTAGCCAGGCGAGGTGGCGGGCGCCTGTAGTCCCAGCTACTCAGGAGGCTGAGGCAGGAGAATGGCGTGGACCCGGGAGACGGAGCTTGCAGTGAGCTGAGATCTGGCCACTGCACTCCAGCCTGGGCTACAGAGTGAGAGTCCGTCTCAAAAAAAAAAAAAAAAAGAAAGTTCTTCTTTTAAAGGACTATGCTACAAACAAACAAACAAACAAAAAAAACCACTAATTGAAAATGTCAGCCGGGCACAGTGGCTCATGTCTGTAACCCAGCACTTTGGGAGGCTGAGGCAGGCAGGTCACCTGAGGTCAGGAGTTCAAGACCAGCCTGGCCAACACGGTGAAACCCCATCTCTACTGAAAATAAAAAAATTAGCTGGGCGTGGTAGTAGGTGCCTGTAATCCCGGCTACTTGGGAGGCTGAGGCAGGAGAATCGCTTGTACCTGGGAGGCAAAGGTTGCAGTGAGCTGAGATTGTGCCACTGCACTCCAGCCTGGGTGACAGAGTGAGACTTCATCTCAAGGAAAAAAAAAAAAAAAAAGTCAACAATAGTTATAAGAAAATCAAGCAAATAAAAAACCAATTAAATTAAATTAATAACTTATTGATAGTTATCATCAAATCATTGGTTCTATTCAAAGTAACATTAAACTAAGCTATGTTCCGTATGTATAAAAACAAAGGATGTAGAATTTAGGGAAGAGCCAGATGGAATTAATCTTCTACCAGGGACTCCCTGTCAGAACAAAAATAAACCATATGAATTGTATACCATGCCAAAAAGTATGGCATTTTCGTAAGGTTCATTGTTCAAAGTCTAAAACTATGAATATTTCTACCTTAAGTTTTTAAGAATCTAAGTTATCATATGTTAAAAAAATTGAAAAATCATTTCAAAAATATTATGTATAAAACTGAATCTCAGAATGTATTTTCTCATAGAAGCAAAAGTAAAAACCACATTTTACATAAAACATCTCTGGAATAAAACCAACCTTCAAAGGATAATCTTAAAAAATTTAAAAACATAATTCTTCTAAAAGCATAGTGAATACCTGTCAAAGATTTACTTAAGTCATTAATGAGGGATCAGCAGCTAGACAAGACAAGTTTAAAGGAGATGCAAGAAACCGATATATAGATAGTGGAAAAAAGAATGCTGGAATAAGACTGCAAAATTAGACACAAACCTGATTAATGTCTTACAGGACAGTAATACCATAGCTTTGGGGATTATCTTTTATCCTAGCAAAAATAATTGCAACGTTTCAATCTTGTACAAGTTAATATCTTTCAGGATCTAAATATTAATTAATAGTAAATGGTAAGTCAAACAACATAACCCTCCCCTGCTATGTCAGATAACCCTTAGACAGGCTTGTTAATACAGTGGTCTAATATGACTCTGAAACGGCCTACATTTATCTTTTATTTATTTCTAAGTTTTGGATAATTTTTCTCATCACAACAAATTTCTGATTTTTACTTTTTCTGGAAAAATCAAGTGGATTCAGTACTCACAAATAAGAAAGCCTTAATAAATAAAATGAAATAAAATATCTAAACCAATTTAAACTCATCTTAACACGATTTCCACAATGTTGATGTACTCTTGGTATTTTTTAATGGCACAGCACTGGGTCTTACGACGCAGCACAAGCATCAGACTATGTGATGATAGAATATTTTACCATTAGTAATCATGATGTGACTGTCTGGCTAGATTAGGGCTGCCACCTCTGAGAGAAATGAAATCTGTTAAATTGATGCCACCAGCCCTGGGGCTACCATACCAATCAAATAATCATTGTGAACTCGCAATTAACTGGTAACATTGAGAATCAGAGGCAGTAAAATAGGCATTTTCTCTGTATTCATTATATGTACAACGGTAGGTATTACCTTTACCAATTTTGTTTCTTCTGCCCGAAGGTGAAGATCTTCATCTGGCTGGGTAACTTCAGGGCTCTGAAAGGATACAGGATAAGATCACTCAGTGATAGGCTGCCTATGACCTACAGCAGAGCCTCAACGAGCACCACCAATCCACTGTGGATGCAGTGTATATGGGATGACCTTATCTACTGTTTAACTTAGGGCTGAAATCAAAGTCCCATTGTAACATGCAATCATAATCTTTCACTTTGTTTGGGACAATGACAAACACATGTAAGATTGAGAAAGATATAACTGCTTTTAACAAAGAACCTATCAAAACAAAAATAAACTTACAAAAAAGGGCCTTCAGACACTACGCAAGTCTGCTTTTTCATATTGGGATGAAATCTATTTCTCAGAAA